AGCAGCATTAAGACTGTACTAAGAGGGCATGTACATGCACAGAGAGAATGCAGCTTCCAGCATAAGGTGGCTTCCTCACCCCGTGCTCCTGAAATTGTCAGGATAAAAGTCTAAAGACCTGAGCGTGCCCCTGCAGACAGCCGCACCTTTCTGCAAAGACTGTTGCGCAGGAAACGCAAGGCCTCCCTCTCCAGTTCGACTGTTTATCAGCCACTGCGGCGCAGAACTGAAGGCTTTTAGTGCCGCCGGCCGGGGGCCACACGCTGTTATTTCGCACTCAGTCCACGGGGTGTCACTGGTGACCAACACTCGGGAGCGCCTCCGGGCCCCCCAGCAGCTGCAGTCACAGGTTCAGATCACCGATTCAAAAGCAGAGCACTTATTCTTTTTATTGCATTTATATATTCCTACACTCATTTTAATCGGGTATAAGCCGATTGTCTCCTCCAGCAGAGTGACAGTCATGGAAACAAAAATGTAATTTACAGGGGAAGGCACAGGAAATAAGCCTGAAGTACTGTGAGGAACATCATTAAGGTACCAGCATTTTCTTTTCCTTTTAAAAGCCTCAGGTCCTCAAATCAGACTATTAATCCAAAATCACAGCCCTCACTTAGAACTGTCTAGCAGCAAAAACTGGAGAAGAAAAAAAAAAATCCAAATTCAACTACACTGAAACCCTCTCTTTCTGATCTGTCAAAGATTAAAAAGAAATTACATGTTCTTTTTTAAAATCTCATTTTTGTGAATTCAGTTCAGACCTTTTGATCTTTCAAACTTCATGATAATGTGAGCTGTGACTCTTATATTTCCATGCAACGCACACAGAAGCATACAGGGAACAACTGACATTTGTGCATTTGTATTTGCTCTTTCAGCATTCAGCAAATGTCAAGTCCAGAAACACCCATCACTAACTTCTTCCAGGGAAGGGCAGTGGGAACAAACCAAATCCACAACTATAAAACCTTTCCTCTCTCAACCTTACACTCACATCTGGCTCCTATGAACATTATTGAAGCAGGAACATTCAATACACATACATGGTAATAGTTACCCAAGGCATTAAACCACTTGAATTCATTTTCCTTAAATCTGTTTTTCCTCCCTTTCAAAACTGAATCACTTTCTTCCTTAGATATACTGACATATTGCGTAAAGTAAAATCAACTTCACTTACCTCAAAAAAAACACTCTTTCACAAACCGTATACAAAACTTGAGTAAGTCAGGTTTGTTAGTAAAAGAGCTGCATGTTTCTAAACAAGAATTTTTGCTTTCACAGCCATCTGCTTATCCCTTCTGATTTCAAAGAAGAATAACAACACTTAAATCCAGCTCTCAGTCATTCCCATAGCAACAAACATACACATGTGCTTATTACTGAAAGATCCTCAAATTATTAAAAAGTAATCAGCATATGAAGCTTCCTATTCCAGGTACTGCCAGCATATAACTTCATCTAGCAAGCAATTTGCCAATTTTAGTTAAATGCTGGGTTGTCATTTCACCAATTTAACAGCTTACAAATTGTACAGCACTTCCACATCTTCTTTTTAATGGGAAGCTGAGTGATAGTTTTGCCTAGCAATAACAGGCATGGGAAAACAGAAATATCACAGTAGTTATGGCTAGCTTCAGAGAGAGGTGCAAATTAAAAGTTGTAATAAACTAAAAAGAAAAAAGATTACGATTCTGCTGAAGAAAAAAAAACAGCAGTGGCTACAGGTATTAACGATATGTTCATTCATCTAAAAGAAAAGTGAAATTGCAGGAAAGACACTCAACATTTTCAGATTCAATTGCTTCTACACACAAGAACACAAGAACAATATAGCAAAAAAATAATTTTACTTTAAAGCTAATTTTTTTAATCAGCTAGTTTCATCCAGCATAAGAACTATGAGTGTTTCAAGGCACCTGTTTTTTCACAGATGAGATTCTGTTGCTATATTAAACAAAGAATTTCCAGAACCCTTTAGTTCTGAATTTTCATTAAGTTTTCATTTAGCTGGAAAACTAGAGAACTAAAGAAAAATAGCAAGGGTCCTTGTAAGGCCACAGCAGAGCCTTATATAAAACAAGTCTCAAAGAGCAAAACAATAAGGCCTAAGAGGTTTTAAAATTCTTTAATGCCTCTATCTGTTGCAACTTCTAGCCAGAAACTAAACATTAAGGTCACCTCAAAACATTTTCAAGAATACAAACAGTGTAATAAAAAATAAGAAAAATCTGAGAATATTAACAGTCTGCAAGCAGTGCCTTCAGATTAATATGAAAAGGGTAGATAAATTTGTGTATACCCTGTAAAGGATGTAAACAACAGTACAGATGGTTTGTCTCACAAAGGAGATTAAGCTAGATAATGACTTAAACACCTGACACAATGAAACAGAATAAAAATGTATCAGACTGAAGAGTTTTCAAGAAAACATTCATGCAAACTTGTATGGACAGCTGCACAATATTTGCTTCCTGACAGTACTTACAAAATATTTTGATCATTGAAAACACTCGAATATCCTGCAAGTCCTAGAAATAGGGCAGAAAACACATTACCTGCTGGGACCTTCAGACAGCCTAATGAAATTACTCAGTATTTTTCCTGCAATTTGAGCATGATTATTTCAGTGACAGAAGACTGGCTTACTTTCTTTTTCCAGTGAATTGTCCATCCCCCATCTCCTGCTTTGTTCTCATCAAAATATTTTGTTGAAACTTGCATCAAAGTACTAGCTAAGGCAAAAATACATGACAGAAACAGTTCATCCAAAATACTGAAATATAACCTGAAGTTCAGCAACATTTCAGTGTCAGACATCCTTCACTCCCAGCCTCAAGCTTTATCTACCAAAGCATCAATCTACACACAGTTTCACTATCTCTGCCATTTATTATAGAAGATAATCAACACACTGGTTGGTCACATCCATGCACTAAGTTACCTCCAATATATATTTAAATAATCAGCCCTAAATTAAGGCTCTAAGGTTCTCTACAGACTGCACTGAACATGTCCCATCTCTGCATGCTGACTATGCCAGTCTCCTAAATTAACAAAACATGCTTCTGCCTGATCTGAACCAGCACAGCCCTGCTTGGTTGGTAGGTGAAGTGCTGCAGTAGATGTGTCCTTGCTCCCGGCTTCAACAGCTGCAGGCAGGAAGGAGGGAACAGTGGAGAGTGGGGTCAGGCTAAAGTCTGAAGAGGTCAAAGGCATGTTTAAAGCTGAACTTCCTAACCCCACACGGCTACAGGCAACATGCACTTTTACGCCCATTGTCCATCTTGCACCTAAACTGCTTGCAAGTCACAAAACACACCTCCAAAACCTGGCCTTAACAAGTCTCTGATTCACAAGTCTTGACACATTTTTGTCTGGTGTGAAGCCCACTAATAGAGTTGTCATCACACAGGAGAAGCTGACCCACACAGAAGCTGTCTTTTCATTCACCAATTAAAACCAAGTCCTAGAAGTGTGCACAGGCCACTTCACAACAACACAGCTGCTTTCCTTTTTCTCAAAAAACCCTCAGAAATCCCATTACTTGTATAGTTACAGTAAAAGCATATCAAAACTACAGAACCCAGCTAGGAAATGATGCCAGCATGTACCAACAATCTGGTTTTACACAAGACCTCCCATGCAATCAGGTACAGACCAGATCCCAAGGTTGCCCAGCAAAGGACTCATGTCTTCAAGACTGACAGAGTGAAAGAAAAAAAAAATAATTTAAAAAAAAATCACTTATACTTAAGGAATTAAAAAAAAATTACCTAAACATCATTGATCATCCCATGTACAGCTGAACTCTTATGTGGCAAAAACTGAAGATAATAATTTCCAAAAAGTCTGAGAACGCACAAGAAACAACCAGGCCCTGCATCGCTGTCTACATATGCAGAGGCTGCTGAGGAGTCCTAGGCCCACCTTCCCTACAAGAAGAATTGTTACTTGACCCCATCAAAACATATCTGAAGGAAAATGTAAATAGCTACCACAGTCTTTAAGCAAACAGAAACCAACACATAAAGTTTAAACACGCATTATGTAAAATTAGCAACTAGAAAGCAATCCTTGGCATAGACACAAGGAGAAACTTTTTCAGTTACTCTGTCGACAATGACAATTATCCTATAGGAGCTGTTGTGCACACACACTTCACTGAATCTGACCATTGTTCTCAAACAGCAAACCCATTTAAAATGTTAGGAAATAAATGGCATTGACACAGCTTAGTTCTAAGAACAAAGTTTTTACAGACCCAAAACCCAGCATACTAATAAAAGACCTTGTGTTTCTGCATTCTTCCAAATATACATTTATAGGAAAAATTAATTTGGAATTACAGAATCATAACCAATATGAGTCTGTAATATAATAAGAGCACTAACAATTCTAGTCCCTGTATTTTGTAGAAAAATGTTTATTCTCCAACACAGCACATTTGAAATACCTGTTGGTTATATAAAACATCATTTAAGGATATATGTATTGCAGCTTTAGCAGTAGTTTCTCTACTTTCTTCCAAAACATAAAAAGTTTTGTTTTACTTTTTTGCCAGGAAATAAAACAACAAAAAAACAACTAAACTAAACCCTTTTATTTCCTCTTCTGACCTTTTCTTTTTTTTTATTTTAAACTGTTGTTAAAAAAAGATCCTGATCTTCACCACCCGTAGATGAGGTCAGCTGGTACTTCCCAGTATAACTTTTTAATAAACATTTTATCTGTTAATACAAGTCCTAACTTTAACTCTGACGGTCTGTAAGTGGCCAGTCACAATCCTAATAAGATGTGCCTGCCCAAATTAGCAATACACTGACCCAGCCCTCACACCAGGCTCAATCCCAGCTCACTCTCTCCCAGACACAGCATCCAAGCTAGAAAGGGTGACCAGGCCAATGTCGACCCTCCAACAGCCCCTGTTCGGACTGCTTGGAGAGCACAGTTTGCCTTTCTAAACTTCCAGGCTTCACTGAGTAACAGGATGAACTCACAGTGTAAGTCGAGTGTTTTTATTCACGCTTTACCAGCGACGCAGGCAGCATCACTACCAGCAAAGCACGAGGTGCTTCCATTTAGCCTAATGGAAAAAGGAAAGTCAGCGGTGAGGGAAAGAAACTTCAGGACCCGCTCTTTCTCCTCCCGACCGCACAGGGCACCGCATACACCAAGAGGCGTCCGGCCCCGATGCACGGGGGCAGGCCGGGGGCACCCCCCAGCCGTTACTCCATCATAAACCACCCGCCCCAGGCACCCCCCTCCTCCCCCACCCCAAATCACACAGGCCCA